CTTCTACATTGTCCAATGGAGTTTCTTGGTATTGTTATGGGAACGTCTGGTAAAGTTCTGGCAAACCCTGCTGAAGTGTCCCTGGTTCCCATCTTGATGCCTGGAATTTTCTTACTTTATTTGTCCCTCCCTTATGGTGTGTTGGCAAGCTGAGAAATAATAATAGTTGCAATAGCAAAAATGTCTTTTGAAGCTCGACAGTCAAGACTTCAACAATGGGAGGCATCTGGCACTGAAGTACTGACACCGGGGAAACACCTTAGTGTTGCTTTCTGTCATGCTTTTCGGGTCCCGGCCTTGCTGGGTTGCTCTCCTCTGCAGACACGGCGGGAGAGTCCGGCCTGATGGAAGTGCTGATGAGCGAGGTCTCCAAGCTGCAGGCGGCCGTCCGAGAAGAGAGGCAGAAGGTCCAGGAGCTGAACATGACCCTCAGCACCAAGGAGGACACCATCAAGGAGATGAGGGTGAGGGACAGCGTCCTGCGCAAGTACCAGGAGCGGGCACACAAGGTGAAGGAGGAGAGGGATTGCCTCAGCAAGGAACTGATGCTGTGCCGAGAGGAGAACTACAAGCTGGCCATGAACTACGCCAAGCAGAGTGAGGAGAAGAATGTGGCCCTGATGAAGAACCGGGACCTACAGCTGGAGGTAGGACGCTTTGTTGACATTCCTTGCTTCCTTTTGGGCAAGGGGAAACAGGACAGGACAGGGATGGGGTGCAGGGGTGGGCTTCAAAAATTTGAGCCATGGGTTCTCTGCCTGGTTGCTGGATGGGCGTGGCCATGGTGGGTGTGGCCTAGCCAGACTCCTGCACCACGGAGGTGGGGGGGCGGAGTTCCCTCCCCGGGCTCCGGAGGCTCTCTGGAAGCTGGAAATGGGCCAATTAAACGGCCTTCCTGAACTTCTAGGAGGCCCGTTTTTCGCCCTCCCCGAGCCTCCATGCGCGCCCTGCACTTACCTGCATCCGAAATGGGCCCTGTGGGGACACCTAGGAGGGGAGGGGAGGGGTGGGCGGGGCCAGCCAGGAGTGGGATTTGGGGGTTCTCCAAACTGCACAGAATCTTAGCTAGGGGACTCTCCCGAACCCCTGCAAACCCCCAGCAGCCCCATCCCTGATGGGGAGTTAGGATTGATGTGAATTTAAGCTGGGAATACCTGAATTCCGATAACCAACTCTTCCATGAGTTGGTATACACCATGACCTGTGTTTATATGACCCGTTTAGCCAGGCTGATTTAAAACCTGGCCCCACGTTTCCCCGAGTTTGGTTATTTTCACGTTGGGCTGTTCTTTGTGGTTTATCCTATCTTGGGTGGGGGGGGTCTACCCTCTTTTTGGCTCGGGTAGTATATGGGTCCTCAATGATAATGATAATTATTCTTCTTTTAAATGACCGTTGTCCTTTTATATAACAGAATAATTAAAGAAAGGATGGTGCCAATCAAATGTACAGGGCAAAATTTAACATTTTGGTGTTTTTTCCCCCAATTATTTTAAATAATTAAATCAAAGTGTTAAATAGTGCTGCAGCAAGTTGTCCCATGGGTGAGTTGGCCATGTCATCTTACAGCATGTTGGCTTGTAGTTGTGGTTGTCCCATTCTGATCTTAGGAACCCCACCTTGCAGGCTGTTTTGGGGGTTAACAGCAGGCCGCATGCCTTAAAACCCAACAAGCTCTGTGGAATCAAGGTGAAGACTTATCATGGTGGCCACATATGCAAATAAAATTGAGATAGGAGAGACTAAGGATTATGGTTTTGACAATGAACCTACAACATTTGACCAAATAATGCTAGGAGTAGATGAAAAAATGATAAAGGAAATATATAACTTCTTGTTCAGCTTAAAAATGGAAGAGGAACAGGTAAAGGAAACCACAATAGTACAGGCAAAGAACTTTGGATATACTATAGATTTAGATGAATGGCAAAAGCTTTGGGAAAGAAATTGTAAGTTGACAATGGCAACTACATATAAGGAAAATTTATATAAAATGTTCTATAGGTGGCATTTACCACCGGCAAAGATGTTTAAAAGTATGCCTGCCAAATGCTGGAAATATAAACAGACACCAGGGAGGTATTATCATATGGGGTGGACATGTGTAAAAACAAAGAAGTATTGGAGAAAAATACATACATGGTTGGAGAAAATGTTAAAAACAACACACAGATTACAAGCCAGAAATATTCTTACTAGGCATAATACCTGAAAATCCCTGATAAAGGGAATCTATATTTAATATTACATGCTTTAACAGCAGGAAGAATTGTTTATGCGCAGTACTGGAAAAATTAGGAGATGCCTACAGAAGATGTTGTAATTTTAAAAAAAAATTAGATGGTGCAGAAATGGACAGATTGACATTAAAAAGAAAAGAAAAAGAAGACACAGAGTATTTTTGAACGTGGGACTTGGTTGGACAGCAGAGGAAGAAATTAGGAGTGGGAAGAGTATTATTGTATAAAAATAAATTGACCCAGTCAATACACCATTCACTAAGCACTTATATATGTAATGTGAAAATATATAAATAAACTGTTAAAAAAAAAAAAGCAGGCCCCATGCAGGAATTGATCTCCTCTGGCCCCCTTGTATGATAATGTCCTCCCTTTCCTGCCCCCCTCCCCCCCAAGATCGATTGCCTTCGGCACAGCCTGACCAAGGCTGAAGATCACTGCAGCCTGGAACGGAAGCACACACTAAACCTGAAGCAAGCCATGGAGCAGCGGCCCAGCCACGAGGCGGTGTGGGAAATCCAGCGGGAGAAGGACCTGTTGTTGGCCAAGAACAAGGAGCTGGAGAGCACGCTGCAGGTCTCTTTTGGCTCAGGAAGGCGGAGCGATCGGCAGAACGGGGTGGAAGGGGGGGGGTGTCTGCAAACATATGGGGCCCCTTGGACAAAACTGCAGATAAAAATGTATCGTCGGGATGCAGATTTTGATGGGAACTCTGCGGGAAAGTCTTAAGTTCTTGAACTTAAGTTTGACAGGTTTTGCAAAAAGGAGGGATTCACTGAAAAGGGATCTCAGCAAATAGGTTGGCTGTTTATCATTAATTTGCCCCCATTAGAGAGACTCATGGAATCAGCTTATAACAGCTTACCTGATTAAATATCCCAAAAATTCTGATCCCTTTTACTGGATAAGGAGCCACGGTGGCACAGTGGTTAGAGTGCAGTACTGCAGGCTACTATTGCTGACTTGCTAGCTGTCAGCAGTTTAGCAGATTGAAATCTCACCAGGCTCAAGGTTGACTCTGTCTTCCATCCTTTCGACGTGTGTAAAATGAGGACCCAGAGTGTTGGGGGCAAGAGAGGCTGGCTCTGTAAACAGTTTAAGGAGGGCTTAAAGCACTGTGAAGTGGTATATAAGCCTATATACCAATAGCAATAGCTATATAATAGCTATTGGCATTGCATCCAGTTTTGGTCATTGTCAGGCAACAGAACTTTTCCCATTCACTCAACTAGAATGAACTTCTGAAAACGCATCCAAACGTATCACAAAGGAATCCTTTATTGAGATGAGACAATTCCTGTAGGAGTTCAAAGCAGCGTCTGAGGTCCCTCAGGCATACATAAGGGAGTTTAGAACCCCTCCCCTTATCTCGATGTGTATTTAGTGAAACAAAAGCCAGTATGTTTATTCCTCCCCACCCCTCTTGTAAGGAACGGTCTTTTCACAGTTTCCCAGGGCATACCTAATTTCCCCCCCACCCCCTTTTTAGAACAAACTATTCAAGAGATTCCCAAAGTACAATCTCACTGTGCAATTTTTATGACCTTCCCATCTCCTGGTTGTGCCTCTCAGAGGTGATAGGTTCTGGCCATCTGGCTTTTCTCCCTCCATCGTATCATGTGTGGGTTATACAAATTTGATATAAGATTAAATATATTCAGGTTACATCAAGAAAGGATTTCTTTATCAGCCTCCCCCGCCCCCCTTTTTTTCTTCCACTGGAGAAATGACAGATACACAGATCTGACATCCATCATGATATAAGTGCTATTGCTAGTCCTTCCTTCCTTCCTTCCTTCCTTCCTTCCTTCCTTCCTTCCTTCC